CTTGAAGCTAACTTAAAAAATCCAAATAAATTCAATTTGGCATCAATGGCGAAATATATTGAGAAGAAAACGAATAGGAGATACATTTTTGTTGCTTCGTGTTTCAGACATGGATGAAGCCTTTTACTACAACAAGCTGTTATTAATTATTTATTACTTTATAGTCTCCTCGCTGGCCTTCAATTAAAACTATCAAGATTTTCCAACACCTTGTCATATTTTTTTATTACCATAATCACATCGTAGGTTCGTTAACAGTAGATTTGTCATGCCAGATTTTCCAACATTATCAGTGAAACTATAAACGAAAAAAAATAGTCAAGAAAAACAAAACAGACGCGCCCGCTGTTACTTAGTTCAGCCTTCATGCTTTGGGATTTCTTGGAGAATTCAGCTTTTTGATACCACCCACCCCACCCCAACCCCCCCTTCCCCCTGTGATCTATGTGTAAGCTTGACTTGACAGCGTTAGGCATCTGCAATGTCTTTGGCATCGGAAGTAGTTTAATGCATTACGTTTTCCAAGAAATTAAATTCTTGGCTGTGTGACTGGCACGTATAGGGCAGCAGTGGCCAATTTTTAAAGTCTGAGGCAACCTTCTGGGGCAACTCTTTCCAGTCGACGAGTTAGTAACATCTGGCAAATTGTATCATTACATTCATCATCACCATCATCATCATCATGTAACCGGTCTTTAGCAAAACGTCGCTCTAATCACGGTCTGCCAGAGAGACTCGGTCTCTCACCAGCTCTCCCGCCTCGTGCACTTTCAGATCCAAGGAGTCACTTATAACATGTGCCCACCTTCATGTTGGTCGGCCCCTGCTCCTCCTTCCTGGCACCATGCCTTCTGCTATAATTTGTTTATTCCACCAATTGATTTGATATGACCAAAATATGTCAGCTTCCGAGACAAGGTGTCGTTTATTAGCCAATCTTAATTTGTGTTCAGATTTTTTAAAATGTCGGTATTTCTTCTCTTCTTTGTTCATGATATTCTGAGAATCGTTCTAAAGCATTTCAGCTCAAAGCCCCTTTTGTCTTACTTCATGACTAGGAGATAGTCCACGGAGTTAGACTACGACTCACACCTGTATGTTGCTACAGGGAAGATGGGAGATAGTCCACGACTCACCCCCCTATGTTGCTACAGGGAAGATGAGAGATAGTCCACGGAGATAGTCCACGAAGCACACCCGTATGTTGCTACAGTGAAGATGGGAGATAGTCCACGACTCACACCCGTATGTTGCTACAGGGAAGATGAGAGATAGTCCACGACTCACACCCATATGTTGCCACAGGGAAGATGGGAGATAGTCCACGACTCACACCCCTATGTTGCTACAGGGAAGATGGGAGATAGTCCACGACTCACACCCGTATATTGCTACAGGGAAGATGGGAGATAGTCCACGGAGATAGCCCACGACTCACGCCCCTTTGTTTCTACAGGGAAGATGGGAGATAGTCCACGACTCACACCCGTATATTGCTACAGGGAAGATGGGAGATAGTCCACGGAGATAGCCCACGACTCACGCCCCTTTGTTTCTACAGGGAAGATGGGAGATAGTCAACGACTCACATCCCTATGTTGCTACAGTGAAGATGGTAGATAGTCCACGACTCACACCCGTATGTTGCTACAGGCAAGATGGGAGATAGTCCACGACTCACACACGTATATTGCTACAGGGAAGATGGGAGATAGTCCACGACTCACATCCGTATGTTGCAACAGGGAAGATGGGAGATAGTCCACGACTCACACCCCTATGTTGCTACAGGGAAGATGGGAGATAGTCCACGACTCACACCCGTATGTTGCTACAGGGAAGATGGGAGATAGTCCACGACTCACACCCGTATATTGCTACAGGGAAGATAGGAGATAGTCCACGACTCACATCCGTATGTTGCAATAGGGAAGATGGGAGATAGTCCACGACTCACATCCGTATGTTGCTACAGGGAAGATGGGAGATAGTCCATGACTCACACCCGTATGTTGCTACAGGGAAGATGCCTGCTCTCAAAATTTTAACTTTTTTTCCCCCTCTGATGCTTATTCATAATCAAAGTTTGTGACATTTTCAAATTCTTCATCAATTTTTTTTTTTGGTGACAGTAACTTTTGTCAGATGACATTATTATTGTTATTATTATTATTATTATTATTATTATTATTATTATTATTATTATTATTATTACTATTATTATTATTATTATTATTATTATTATTATTATAGAATATCATTACATTAGGATGTCAATTAAAAAATAAAAGACAATTTTCAGGCTTCGATGCGGATCTGGTATGTGTTGCTAATCCCAAATGTCTAACGCGGCTTTGTGGCTGGCTATTTTGTTTTATAAACTAGTAAGCTACAACTGGTGCGATGAAAATTGTCTGGGAAGTACCGGTTGCCCACGCAATGTTCAACACTCTCCCTATAGAGTGTCCGTTGTCTACAAAAAATTATGGGGCTGTAGTACGGTGACCATAACATCTTGAGTTGTAGACGGATCATCATGCTAAAATTTTGGGCTGAAAACAGTTTGTTGAAGCCCACCTCTCTTTTTTATGGGTCACCGGTGTGCAAGAGTAAATTACTCGCCCCTCAATGGTATTAAACTGTACACACAGGACGTGCCTGTAACTGACTCACAGAGCAAGTTGAGAAGGTGGAGACCGGTATTCTTGCTCCCTGCAGAGTGGCAAGGATCACTTCAGAGGTCCCAGATAGTTAGTATCCTTTGGATATTCTCTCCAGGTAATGTCGGTGTGTTGGAAAATAAACAGGCAGATAGTCTGGCCGGTTCTGCACCACTTGGTGGTGACCTGATGTATGACAAGCTAGACATTGGGAGTGTTGAGATCGTTACGGTCTGAGGAAAATGGCCCTGCGATGAGAATGGCCCTGCGATGAGAATGGCCCTGCGATGAGAATGGCCCTGCGATGAGAATGGCCCTGCGATGAGAATGGCCCTGCGATGAGAATGGCCCTGCGAGGAGAATGGCCCTGCGAGGAGAATGGCCCTGCGATGAGAATGGCCCTGCGATGAGAATGGCCCTGCGATGAGAATGGCCGTGCGATGAGAATGGCCGTGCGATGAGAATGGCCCTGCGATGAGAATGGCCCTGCGATGAGAATGGCCCTGCGATGAGAATGGCCCTGCGAGGAGTTACCAGGGGATCTGGCCGACGCTCGACACTCAAGGAAAGGGCGTGCCTGATACACAAATCGACAGTTACTAGTGCCATCGGAATTGGAACTCTTTTGTTTGCTGATGAAGATGGTGACGGAGCGTTTATAGAATTTCTTGCTTTTGTTGGAAGGGAGAGTGCTGGAAGGAGAGACAGTGTTTACATCTGTTGAGAACAGCCTGGGCTATGATTGTGGTCTTTTGAAAGACGGAAGGCAGAAGAGAGGTCTAGAGGCCGACAACCTGTCTACAGAAACGGATGTTTACGTGTAAACAGCCTCTGGTATAAAAGGGAAGAGAATCGCCACGAAAGCTGCAGTTGGCTCCAACAATAAGCTTATAGAACTATGACCTTTCATGTCTGCCTGTATCCATGGCAACACCTACACGCATTGACCCCTGGGAGTAGTGTATAGGCGCACTCAACTCTTACAGTTCCATGGAACTCACAGTCAGAGTCGGATTTAGACTTCATGGACCCTAAGCTCTATAAAGCCCTAAGGCCCCTATAGTTCAACTTATCGGCTCGCCAATAGACGACTTCGTCGCCGGTCGGGACAGTGTTTGGGTCTGTCTCATTTGATCGCTTCAACAATTCAGGAGTCTTTTTTAGGGCTCTTGGTGGCGTACAGTGCGAATAATCATTTTTTGGGGCACACATAACATAGTCATAATTATAATCCAAAGTTCCCCCTTCGGTGATGATGGCTGAATGTGACGATTTTTAATTTTTTTGAGTAAAGCATGCATCATTAAATTCCCGCCACATAATCTGAGAAAACTGTTATACATACATGTATGGATAATGAAAATATAGTTCATACTTTTACCCTTACGTCCTTTTTAGGACGTAATTTTTTGTTATTTGAAGCCCCACTCTGGCTTTTGCCAGGGGCCGCAATATAGGCAGGCCATAAATATGGCCAATTGTCTGAACGCGGTTTCTGGGACCTCTCCACGGCGATCCTCATCCACATGGTGGCACTTTGTGTCATCGGGTGTTTATCGCTTGTGTGATGTCCTGGTGGGGTAGAAATTCATTCAAAATATAGTTTTATTTTTTATTATATTAAGAAATAATAAAGAAATTTGTTTGCAAACTAACAGAAATTATATAATACTCAAAATGCTCTGAGTAGAGTTTAGAGGTTCCCCCCCCCCCCCCCCCCTGACTTCCGAAATGCAGAATCATTGATTAGGTCTACATCATCAAAAGATATGCTTTGTAAGTAATCTTGTCTTGCCTGTGATGTTTCTTTTTCACCTAAAAACATTAGATGGATGTTTCATTTTCTGTTCAGGATATTATGGTCAACGTATCTTACATGCATGATTGTACAGAAATATACGTTTTAACGCTACAGAATTACACATTTAAGAACACAATCAATCCAAAACAGGTGGGACTATATCTATGTGAAAAAATTATTGAATCAGATCGTTTCATTTGGATTTACTAGTTCACCGAAACATACACGCCAGACTGTAGCATTTACCGAAAGGCATTCATTGAAAGTGACTAATCAAGACTGTTTTCTGCCGCGATGTGACATGACCCAGGACTGCTCGCCTACACCCGGCGTGTAAAAAACACACTTGTTATAAGGTCAGGCCACCCTGAGTACTCACTATGAAGTAAAACAGGTGGATCCTGGCAGATCATCGTATTCTAGGCTATGATTGTTGGCTCTGGTTCCAACTAACAGATGTTGTATCTATACGCAATATTACTGACAAATTAAATCACCGACATCAAATTTCTCTGGAGTCAGCATTTTAACGAAACAAAATGTACGATCAGGAATTTGATAATTCGGCTCCATATGACAATGTGGAATTCCCCATCCGTAAGCCGGGTACAGGAACCTGGCCTGGTCCAGGGGGTGCTTCGGGTGCATCCGGAGCAGGGGTCAAGCTGTATGGGCATCAGACGACAGGCAGATCGTTGGGTGGTTCAAAACTGGCCCCGTTGGTTGAAGTTGAAGGATCAGAAGGCGGTGAGAATAACAGACTGCAAATAATAAGCTTCGTTAATACTTCAACCACGCCAACAACAACAACAGCAGCAGCGTCCCAACAGCAGCAGTATCAAGGACAGAGCAAACAAATTGCGCCATTTGTGACTCAACAAGGTACAAACACAACACCACAGAATCAGATCAAGGTGGAAGGTACCAGTTCAACACCTGTGAGTATTGCACGTATCTATATCTATCTATCTATCTATCTATCTATCTATCTATCTATCTATCTATCTATCTATCTATCTATCTATCTATCTATCTATCTATCTATCTATCTATCTATCTATCTATCTATCTATCTATCTATCTATCTATCTATCTATCTATCTATCTATCTATCTATCTATCTATCTATCTATCTATCTATCTATCTATCTATCTATCTATCTATCTATCTATCTATCTATCTATCTATCTATCTATCTATCTATCTATCTATCTATCTATCTATCTATCTATCTATCTATCTATCTATCTATCTATCTATCTATCTATCTATCTATCTATCTATCTATCTATCTATCTATCTATCTATCTATCTATCTATCTATCTATCTATCTATCTATCTATCTATCTATCTATCTATCTATCTATCTATCTATCTATCTATCTATCTATCTATCTATCTATCTATCTATCTATCTATCTATCTATCTATCTATCTATCTATCTATCTATCTATCTATCTATCTATCTATCTATCTATCTATCTATCTATCTATCTATCTATCTATCTATCTATCTATCTATCTATCTATCTATCTATCTATCTATCGGTCGGTCGATCGATCGATCGATCGATCGATCGATCGATCGATCGATCGATCGATCGATCGGTCGGTCGGTCGGTCGGTCGGTCGGTCGGTCGGTCGGTCGGTCGGTCGGTCGGTCGGTCGGTCGGTCGGTCGGTCGGTCGGTCGGTCGGTCGGTCGGGTCGGTCGGTCGGTCGGTCGGTCGGTCGGTCGGTCGGTCGGTCGGTCGGTCGGTCGGTCGGTCGGTCGGTCGGTCGGTCGGTCGGTCGGTCGGTCGGTCGGTCGGTCGGTCGGTCGGTCGGTCGGTCGGTCGGTCGGTTCGGTCGGTCGGGTCGGTCGGTCGGTCGGTCGGTCGGTCGGGTCGGTGGTCGGTCGGGTCGGTCGGTCGGTCGGTCGGTCGGTCGGTCGGTCGGTCGGTCGGTCGGTCGGTCGGTCTGTCTGTCTGTCTGTCTGTCTGTCTGTCTGTCTGTCTGTCTGTCTGTCTGTCTGTCTGTCTGTCTGTCTGTCTGTCTGTCTGTCTGTTTGTCTGTCTGTCTGTCTGTCTGATCTATTTATAAAATCTAACAAATGTGATGAGAAGTCAATACGGCCAGTGTAATATTTACCACATAATTTACTATCTCATATAGCTTTATGCAGATTACTGAGTTCAACAGTCAAAGTTCGCCTTCTGTCTGTCTGTCTGTCTGTCTATACAAACACACATATAGCTGTTTATCCGTCCCCCCCCCCCCCATGTATGTATGTGTGCGCCCGACAAGTTAAATCTTTAGTGAACGCCCCCTGTAGTGCTCCGCTGTTGTCTCTGGGAAGGCTTCATCTTTTGCACGGTGCGATTCTCATAACACCGTCCGAAGTCACAAGAAAGGCGAGCTCTAACACCCATACGTTTGTCTTCCCACTAACTCACCACAAGTAGGAGGAAACAGACTCGTGTTAGAATCAGGCGATCTTCTTCTTCTTCGTCTTCTTCTTAATGTGGTGTCTTGTATATCCACATCTTTCTGTCTCGTGCACTTTTAAGCAACTCTGACACAGATGAGCATCCATGCACGACCAGCTCTAGCTGGAGCCGGTCGTGATCCATGCCATGATGTCAAACTGTCCAGTATCTTCTGTCTTGGTCTCCCTCTGCCTCTTCTCCTCTCCAACTTTCCTACTGTCACGATGTACTCCAGTTTTCTCCTTCTCATCACATGACCAAAGAATGCAGATTGTCTCTTTCTGATGTGGACAATGAGCTAGTTTCTTTTAAGACATCCTCTTTACTTGTATAGAACCAGATCGCCGCAGCTTCCAAAAAATGTATCTACTAACTGTCCGTGATTCACTCCCATCTATCAAGATACGATTTATATAACTTTTAAAAATTCTCTTTCTCGTCTCAAATGACAATTACAGATTACATTAACAAATCTTCATTAGGTCAAATGCGGCCTTTGCTTGAGCTATTCTACATTTAACATCTTAAATACATGTCTCATCTGAGGCTGCTGAACAATAAACATAACGCATTTGCTGCGGGCGACCGAGCATCTAGGGATATGCCAAGTGTGCTATGATTGTTTGTTTTTTAAAATGAAATCAGTTATATCAAATCCCACAACAGATCCTTTTAAAACATCGTTTTTACCAAAACCCATGCGATACTAAATCTGTAGGTTATCAACTTGTCTCACACAATTTCATGTCTCGGGTGATCAACTTGTCTCACACATTGTCATGTCTCGGGTGATCAACTTGTCTCACACATTGTCATGTCTCGGGTAATCAACTTGTCTCACACATTGTCATGTCTCCGCTGATCAACTTGTCTCACACATTGTCATTTCTCTGGTGATCAACTTGTCTCATACATTGTCATGTCTCGGGTGATCAACTTGTCTCACACATTGTCATGTCTCGGGTGATCAACTTGTCTCACACATTGTCATGTCTCGGGTGATCAACTTGTCTCACACATTGTCATGTCTCCGCTGATCAACTTGTCTCACACATTGTCATGTCTCGGGTGATCAACTTGTCTCACACATTGTCATGTCTCGGGTGATCAACTTGTCTCACACATTGTCATGTCTCGGGTGATCAACTTGTCTCACACATTGTCATGTCTCGGGTGATCAACTTGTCTCACACATTGTCATGTCTCCGCTGATCAACTTGTCTCACACATTGTCATGTCTCGGGTGATTTGAATGCCTTGTATCTTCTATCATGCTGAACGACTATGATCTGTTCTCTGAGCAACCACTCTTTTCATTAATATTCTGTCTAAAACACTGTCAAGAATTGATAGATATAATTTACAAGAAAATCCAGACAGAAAACCTTCTTTTTTTTTAAAAATATAAACAGCGGAAAACGTGATAAATTGAAAGAAAGAAATTGCGATTAACGTAACTGGTTCTAAATCATAGTGTCTGGTATATCTTTTGAATTGGCTTACAAATATGGAGCAATATTTACCACCGTCCACTGAATGAATGAGAGAAAATGAATCGCACACGGACCGCACACTCAGCGAGTAACATCCAATGCGCAACATGCACTGTATCTCTGCTCGGATGAAGGTCGTTCCAGAAACCCGGTTCAGCCGCAAAGTGATATTAGGGCACCCGACGGTGAAAAAGTGACCTAGGACCAGCCTGGGTGGAGTTGTCTTATCAAAAAGAAAATGTCCCGTATCGAGACAAGAATGTGTCAAAACCCCACTTCCAGAATCTCATAAGAAAAATAAATTAATCTTCTTCTCCTTATCTTTTATCCTTGATCGCCCTGTAGAGCAAAGGCGGTCAAACAACTGGGTTTCATCCCTTCTTTATTTGCATTCGTTTAGGGCTGGTTGCATGTTTCTTTTTTAAAGTCTGATGTGGCCTCGCACTAACTTTTCTTATTCACCTCTTATGATATGCATGGAAGGTTAAATTGCTGCTACTCTTTGCTTCCCTCAGGATCATGGTATCAGACAACCGCAGACTTGGCAACTACTGGTCGACCTCAACGGAAACCGGCCATAGAAGTGCGAAAACTTGGTGCCAGGGGCGTTAAGTCGTCTAGAGCCTTTCCAGTGGCTGTAGGACATTTATGTTTTCCTGAGGTGTATTGCGTTTGATAGTCTCCCTTTGTTTTACTGACTGTGTAAATATTCGTAGGCGTGAGTGGAAATTCTTGTGCCAGTTGGGCGGAACGTGTTACTGGTGTTCGCATGTTAGGGCTACCTTCTCTTCTTTTCTCTAAACACTGTTTAGCCTTTATACGTCAGGATTTGAAGAGGCATCTAGTTCCAGCCTTGGTGTGTGTCGCAAAGATGTCAGTATTCACGGCCTCTGATCTTCTTCTCCGCGTTCACTGGCTGTAAATTCTAGCGGAGAGATTTATTTGTTTGTCTACCTCTGGACTTTAGTCTTGTTCCAAAACCTGAGTGTTGCGTGCTCATTCGTTTTACACATATGACTTACCTGTACGCAGAATGTAGGCTCCTTGCCTCTCAGGCATATACACGCCGACTTAAATTCGTTGGACCTGTTATTAGGCCAGATACACTTCGCTACGTAGTCACAACTGACAACGTTGATAAGAAAGTAGCAAAGCTCGATAAAGTTGGGTCGGCACTAGATGGCTTGAGAAATATACCTGATAGATATTATGATAGTCCTGTGAAAAGGTGATGGTCCTGTAAAACGGGGGAACTATGATTATCTTTGACATATGATTAAAGCACACACACAAATATACATACACTTATATATGATGTGTATGTGTGTGATAGAGAGAAAGACAGAGAGAGAGAGAGAGACAAAGACAGAAAGACACCCAAGAAAGAAGGACAGACGAGAGAAAAAAGATAAAAGACAGAGAGATAAAGAGCGAGACAAATGCAGAGAAAGAGAAAGAGAGAGGGATAGAGAGATACATGAGGAAAGAAAAAAGAAAGGGAGAGAACGAACGAATTTGAGAGCGAGAGAAAGAAATAGAGCCTGTGAATTTCACAACCTTAATTTGCAGCTTGTATGTGCCCATCCTAACTCCCTATTTATATGGCCACACCTCCACCGCCTTCAGCCTTTTATCGCTGCTTATCTTTCCCAAGCTTCCCGCCCAGTTTCTTTATCATTGCCCTCGACGAGCTACTGAAACACATTTGCACGCCCGATCCCACGTTTTCATATTCCCGACCCCGGCTACTAGAAACACCGCTCACCATTGAGAAGCACCCTTACCTTCATACGACTCCACCAGATGGTATGGTAAATCTTTTGGTCGCTGTCCGGAAGGGACAGACCACTGAGAAGAAGACACGAAGCGTGATAATGGTATACCAGTTGTTGGAAACAATCCGAGTAGTCTTCTGTAATCTCTTTTTTTTTTAAACACCGCTACATATCTTAATTATTATTTTTTTTTGTTTTTTTTTTTTGTTTGTTTTTGTTTAAAAGGATAGGTCGATTAATTTTTTTATTTTTACATTATTATTACATTCCGTTTAGGACTACAACCTGAAAGTTTAACACCACGTAAAAGACAGTAGCACAAAACATGAACTTCGTAGCTCCAGCGACGACCCCTGTGGATATCTGTAAAACTGCATTTCTAAACCGAACGATACGTCAGTGAAACAAACCCACGACCTAAAGAGCACGAGGCAATCGGCTCGACCACTTGGCCACTGTTTTGTCTGGATCTACAGATGTCTAAAGGCGAGGGGATCTCGTTAATGCGCCTCGGTTTATTTCGTATGGTTTGGTCTGTCAATGCAGTACAGCTGATCACACACGAGAGTTCACACAAAGAATAAGTTCTGTAGCTCCGCGCCCCTCCCACGGATCTCCAAAACAACTTAACCCGCGAAAAGAACTTCAAGTCTAGAAGTTAATCTAAAACCTTTAGAGAACGAAGCAAACGTTACAATCACTTGGCCAAGGGGGATTCCCTGTTTCGTTCCATCCTAGACTGGGTACAGGCGGAAAATTTATAGGAATCTCAGATCAAGATGATCCCTGACCCGTGCCTCTTTTAGCTCAACGTGAAAAAGACGGAAGCTCAGTACAGAGACGGAGTTGTTGGAGCCGCCACTTGGTAGAGTGAGTCGCTTTAGGCTGGTGGATTAATTATTGATTAAACTGGATCTAATGTGGTGATACTCCGCGATGGAACTGAACAGACAACATCACTACCATCAGCATCAGCACCATAACTTTCTTCTTCTTCTTCTTCTTCTTCTTCTTCTTCTTCTTCGACCCTTCTGTTAGTAAAATTTGTATCAGGAGGCTTGTACCCTCTTATGAAAGATGTCATGTAGTCCAAATCTCACAGCACCACACAACTTTGTTTGAGGTTGGAATTGCGTCTCTGTTGGCAGCATACAAACTCTTTATAATACCGTTATTTTAAGTGGGATCTATCTGGAAATAACAAATAACAACTCTGACACACATCCTCAGCTCTAGTCGGATTATGAAAACGTCTGCGGCCTCTACCATAATCCTGTTGCGTATTCAGGTCACGACCTGTAATCATAGATGCAGGGAGATAAGTCTGCAGGCGTGGGCTGAATATTATCTCCCATATTCTGCATGTAAATCCGGAATGGCGACCAAAAAGAAGACGTCCGAACTGTGCCGTTTGTAACCAGATACCCCTACCGACTCTCCTTCTACTGGTATCTGCAAATGAAGGATGTGATCTCTGTTGTAGGAACACTATGGCTGGCTTACAGCGCGGTGACATAATTATTCTAAATATAATGTTTAATCTTATTTCTATCTAGGGAGCCGACGTTGTGTAGCGGCTAGTCGCTCGCATGCAGTTTTGAAGGTCGTAGGTTCAAATCCGAATGGTGCCGAAAAATTTTTCATACATTACCTTGGCTCCAAAATCGACTTAACCTTACATGGGTGCCAGGTAAAGTCCTGGAAAGTAGATACGGCTGGCCTATTGACCCATTGATTTATACAAATATGAGCCTAACCTAATATGCCTAATGCGCTGGTCGGCGTGTAAAAGGACCTTCTTGGCCCTATAATTCCCATAATTCTGTGAGCCGCCGTGGTCTAACGACTAGACGCTCGCCTGCGGATCGGAAGGTAGTGAGTTCAGGTCTTTACTAGGGTCAGATTTTTTTTTTCAAAAATGACTTTGCATCTCAGGCCGACCTAGTCTTGAGTGGATACCAGTACAGTCCTGGAAAGTAAAAGTGGCCGGCGTGATTCTGACCACATCACCCACCAAGTGCCGTTTGGTCTATAAAATATAGGTCTAGCCCTATATACCCCATAAACCTGAAAGGCGGGGAAAAGGGCTCTTTACTTTACTTTATTCCCATATACTAGAAATAAGTCCTACATGCGGATCCCGGGGATTCATTTTTGTTTGGAAATAAGGGCAGGGTTTGGGGGGGGGGGGGGGGGGTAGACTCATTTCCCCCTACTCTGATGGTCTCAGGAGTTCTGCAATCACCCACATGTGCTTCTGTTAGGGAGTAACGCAACTATTCCCGAAAATCAAGCCTAGCAATTATATCGCCAAATTACAACCAAGCCCAGCAGACGATCCGCTGGCCTGCTGCTTGATATTTCATACATGCCTTGACTAATGGACAAAAACCAGAACTCGTCGAATTTGGGTTGTACGGTTTGGAGAACGATATTTTCTTCTGGCTCGAAAACAAAAATGTAAAACATTGTTGAAGACGAATTTGTACTAGAAGGAAAAACAAAATTGGCATGCAACGTGCATATTGTCTGTAGGCGATTAAAGTCCTGGTTTGCATTTTTGTTTATCTCGTATATTTCTGTTTAATATAGAAACAAATACGAATAACTATAACTTTTTTTAAAGGAGTCGGCTCTCACTAAGAAGTCTGGTAGTCTTAGTTTCAGCTTCAAAGCAAACGGGTCACCCATCTTTGCTCCGCTCCTGTGCCAACGAAAAACACACAGAATGTTTATCACAGTGCCTTGTGGAAAGATTGACAGGCTGCTGTCTCAGCATATCTAGCATACACACGCGTTAAAGCATACGGTAGCTATCCGAAGTGCTAACAC